AAGACTAGTTCCAAGCTAAGGTGTATGAGGAAAAAGCTAAAGGAATTGAATCTAACAACCCTAAAGGACAGAAGCACCAGGGAAGGCTTGATAGGACAGACAGGGACAGGCTATTTGAAAGGCAAGAAACAGGTATTCCAGGGCACAGCTGGAAGTAAGATAGATGAATTACAAAGCTGTCAGGATGTAGTGTTCGTCTCAGGGAGGCCGGGAAGTGGAATGATGTCTGTAGGGTGGTAGAGACAAACTCCATACATAGTTTTAAGAGAAGGTACAGCAGGACCCATATGCCTAGGAGAGGGGGGAATCTGGCAAGTTGAAAGTTGAGAGGTAGGGGCCAGGCACTAAGGCTCTATCCCTGCAACCACAATAAGCGAGTTGAACCATTTCTTCTATGGAGTAAGTTTGTAAAAAAATTTCAGCTCTTAACTTTCTAAAAGATTCCACTGCAATTATTATACAGTATTTCCTTGATACAAGGAAAAGAACATAGCTGGAATACCTTGAAGGGTGTCATATAATGGCTGGTGTAGTAAGCTAAGATGTATATACCTTGTTCTGCAGGGGTGTGGAGCTGGTGGAAGTGGTGACGGAGGATGTGTTTGACCACTTGCCTGGCCTTGGCTATGTGCAGATCACAGATGTGTACTCCACCAACATAACCTTTGAGCCCGTCGAATGTCCTAGACGCACCGTTGTCTATATGGTCTGCTCAGAGCTTGGTATGTGCCCCCCCTCTTTGTCTTGCTCACTCTACCATCTCTTCCCTCCTATTTCCCTCACTTTTCTCACCCACCATAGTCTCTCCCACTTCTTGTCTGTATCACTTACAGTGTAACTTAAATTAAACTTATTAAAAGTCTTACAGTATAATATAGCTACTGTATGATCTCGCTTGTTTGCAATCATATCATTATGATTTCGTGAGTCGAAATACTGTGAAGCATAGACAGGAGAAATGAGAAACTACCAGGAAAAATTCAAAACAGGGTGACATGTACATAATACAAACTTCACACCCAACAAGGTTAAATGTGTTAGGGAGCATTTTTTTTATGTAAGAATATTAAAACAGTAAAACAAGCTAGAGAAAACTCAGCAGATGACTTCTCAGTTTGTCAGTTGAGAATTAAATGGTGGGCCCCAAGAGCTCCCTCCCTCCTATTCACCCTCATAAATTCAAATTCTCTCACACACATTCTTATGCTCTGACACATATGCACACTCCCCCTCTCTTGCTCTGTTATGGGTAGGTGTAGCTCAGGGTATGGGAAAATGCCTTGTAAGCCCATTTAAGCTACACTCTGGAGGTGGCATCTATTTTTAATGAATAGATTAAGACTTATACCAGTGCTCTAAAACAGACTCAAACAGAAAACTTCAGAAAAAAAATACATGCCAATCAAAATATTAAAGATAAGAAATCACAAGTAAAGCTCTACTCCTGCAACTACATATACTGTAAATAGGTAATAATAGTAGTACATACTGGAATTGTGTCAAGATATAGTTTGTATGGACTAGACAACAAGCTTCTGTAGTGTACGGAAAGGAAAGACATCATAAGATAAGATATCCCAGGGTATTGGCAGGATAGACAAGGACTGACAGGGTGACAAGAGCTAAACACCTGAACAAGCCATAGAGATGTTAAGAAGCATTTTCTTAAAATATTTGAAGAGTTAGACCCAGTAGACTGATTCCATGCAAAGATTTGTGTAAATACAATGGAGCTCAGTTCATTACTCGGAAGTTAAGAGGCAGAGCTTTATCCTCTCAAATTCATAAAAGATAATACATATATGCTACATAAGCTAATTGTCATCTACAGCATGTGGAGTGCGACCTCTGTACCTCGCACCACGGAACTCTGCTGTGGAAAGCAGTGTGGTTCGGACAGCAGGCAATGGTGACTGGCCATGGGCAGCTGCTCTACTGAAAGACAGTGTGCATGCCTGTGATGCTACCCTCATTCACCCATCCTGGCTCCTCACTACTTCACTCTGCTTCCAAGGGTCAGTCTCCACATCTACCCTTGCCATTATTATATTTATAGGGAAGCACTAAACCTGTAGGGTTCATACATTGCCTGGGGAATGAGAAGTAGGATTTAATCTAAGGGAAGAGTAGCTACAATTCCTTGGATCAAAAGCCCCTCAGAATCAGGTAACCTCTATGAGGAGATTAAAGTTTAAAATTTTTGCAAATAATACGTGCAAACTCAGAACAGTACAGGTTATGCATGTGATGGTAGCTGCTGTGTGAAGCTTGCTGCATTTCCCAACAGCCAGGGTCGGGCGCTATGGGTGGCGAGGCTGGGAGGCATCCGTATCTCATCGCAGGCGCCATGGGTGCAGGAGAGGCTCATTGTGGGCATGGTTAAGTCTCCGGTGGAGGGTAGCCAGATTGTCCTCATTAAGGTGAGTCAGGACATGCCACATGCAACTCACCCACACAACCAGCCTTCTCATCACCACACCAGTTCTCTCTCATCACTAAACCACCACACACCAGTCCTCTTTCCATCGTTACAACCACCCTCACTACCACTGAGTTACACTTGTGAATTTACTTCCAAGTTACTACTTGCCCAACTATTCCCACCTTCCTGACATACCTAAATACAACATATCTACCTCATCATTCCTTAAACCTCAACCCATCTTAATGCCAGTTTTTTATAGTTAATTTTTTAAGGGTTTTTTCCTTTGCCCTGTGGTTCAAGAGCTTGGTTGTGAAAAAGCTATAATTAAATATTGCATGCCACATATATACAGACCTTCATAACAAATTGTCCAGAGTCTTTTAGTTGTGCAAAAAACTTTCACCTGAAACTTTACATTAATCTAGCTAGATGTATTGCAGCTTGCCGATTCTGAGGTAGAACTCAGTGATTACGTGCGTCCAGCATGTTTGGGATCCCACTCTACTGTGTCTCAGCTCTCCAAGCGCCGATGTCGAAGTCTAGGTTGGGGTGTCAGACGTAAGTACAATCCTCATTAAAACTGCTTTCATCCAACACTATCTACATAATGGAATTTTTAGCCAATAAATCTTTCTCATTTGTAATATGATATTTGGAAGACTCATATTATATTCGTGGGACAGTACTGAAGCTGTAAGTCATAAAGTGCTACCTTCTGCAAACCTTCCTCATAGAGCAAGTAATGCATCAGTACAGTATATCAAATGCATTTGAATTTCGTTACTTGTGAGAACTATGAATTGAATAATTGTGGATAGAGTTTGTAACCCATTAAGGATATATTTACAAAAATGTATATATACACACACAGGTGATCCTCTGGTGGAGTTATCTGTGACAGTGACTGCTGGGGAGGTATGTCACCGCCTGGACGGCTCTAAAGAGAAGACCATTTGTGCTCAACAAACAGCACCCACAGACAGATGTCTTGTGAGTTGACCTAATGTGCAATATTATCTTTTAGAAAGTTTATGATAAACTATGTATTTGTATCATTATATATATATATTTTATCAGCTTGGTACCTTTGCCAATGTCCATTATAAACAGGAATTGTTAAGGATAGCACACAATACCAATAAGTTGATGAGTAACTCTTGGGTTTCTTTAATGTTGAAACATTTCACCTGCACAGCAGACTTCTTCAAGCAAATACAGGCAATTATAACACTGACCACAGTAGAAGTGGAAGGGTAGTTTGAGGTGATAAGTCCCTCAACCTTGATAGGTAGTTAATCCCTTAACCTGTCCACTACCAGTCAAGGCTGAGAGACTATCACCTTAAAACACACTGGAGAGATGGTAGAAGGGGACAGTGTGTTTTAAGACAATAGTCCCTCAGCCTTGATTGGTAGTGGTCAGGGATTAACCCCTTATCAAGGTGGAGGGACTTATCACCCCAAAATTACCCTTCTACTGTCACCAGCATTATAATTGCTTGTATTCAACTGAAGAAGCCTGCTGTGCAGGCTACAGTTTAAGCAAGATCAGTCATTCATGCTTATTCCAATTTAGGCATGTGTAACACTTAATAAAGATAATTAAGTGTTGCACATGCCTAAATTGGAATAAGCATGAATGACTGATCTTGCTTAAACTGTTGCCATGTATTCTATAATAGTTTTCAAGATTTTATTTGTACATTATGTAAATAAGAATTAAATATACATGCATACATATAACAAACTTGTATACACATTGTAATTTTTATAACAGTTCCTTCTTTGAAGCCCAACACTATCATCGTAGATTGGTCCCCCCAAGGGAGGCTCCTTGATGCCGATATGGGGCTCTTAATTCAAGGAATTGGACCTCCCCTCCTCTGCTTTGGATTGAACCTGAATGCCTCCCACACTCCAGGTGCTATATGACCCCTCAAATATAATGCTTCCCTGTAAATGTAATAGTTACAGATTATTACATTTAGGGGGAGTGGTACATCCACAGAGCTCGTACAGCCCCTGGAAAATGGGAGGCAACGAGGTTCGATCCAAGGGAAGGACAAGTCCAATACCTTGAAGAAAGAACCTTGTGATGTGGGGTACATTTATGCCTTTTCTTTAATGATGACATGTTGCTGTTTTCTATTAAAACCTCAAGAATACACTAAGATACTTAAACCAGTTTGTGTACCAGGTCATAGGTGCTTGTATGGCCAGGGGATCAGCAAAGTGGATGCCATGACATAGGTGGCAGGAAAGCATACTGTAGTCCAAGAGGTATTGGGTAGAGGAATTTTATGTATTGGCCCCTTCATATGGTATGGAGAAGAAGTTATGGAAGGTAGTGCAAAGAGGCCATCTGCCTCATTGACTGTTAATTGAAGTCTGGTCCTTGTCAGGAACAAAGAGTACTCAAGTTGTGCTGTTTTCTCTTCTGCCTTGTATAAATGTCCCACCCCTTAGGTTATATATTGGAGTGTAATGAATTTCCTGTGGCATGTGGTGTCCAAGGTAAATAAAAAATCACTAGGCATTCTTCCTTCTATTGGATCATGTGTGCTGGGGGGGGGGGGTCTTGCTCACACATTTTAAGAAGGTGAGCAAGAACCCTGACACACGCTGGAGGGAAGGGAAAACGTCTAATGCCTTTCTCTTATTTACTCTGAACACCCATTGCCAAAATATGGAACATATTTCACCATTATTATATATCACCCATGGGTGGAATATTTCTGTAGGGCAGATGCTAGAGTAAATGGTACAATTAGCATACCTATATTATGTTCCTGATGAGGACAAGGCTTGTATATCTTTCCCTTCCCTCTGTACCATGTGCATAGACATAAAGTCCTCTACCCAACACCTTCTGAACGAGTAACATGCTTTCCCACTACGTACATCATTTCATCCACCTTGTTCCCTAGTCAGGTGTCCTCTACCCTCAAGCTAAGCCAAGTGCCCTGGAGCTAGTGAAAAAACTGGTACATGCTAGTAATAAACATGAAAAATGTATCCCACACTAAAACTTTGCCAACATCAAGGAACCTTCCATGAGGGAACTATTGTCATAAAGATGAAAATTATACTCACATTTTAGTATCAAACCACACAGTAATTATGAGGAAAACTAAAATAATCAGCTCAGATTATTATTATAATCAAAAAGAAGCGCTAAGCCACAAGGGTAATCAGCTCAGAGCAGCTGGGAAATAGGTAATCTGATTAGATCCAAGGAAAGGGAGGACGATTCATTTACTTGGATCAAAGACCTTCCCACACAGACATAAAAAGACCACCCTGCAGGGGTGAAGCACTGGTATTCTGTTTAGTCTTTACAAGAGCTACTGGGAGTGTCTTGCATTTACTGGATATATTCATAGCAACCTCCTCTTGTTTTACCTGACCGATCTTAATGCATTATGATTATAATAATCATAACTAAGTCCTAAACTGGCAAGGAATGCATTATGAAACTTATTATTATTTTGTTTTCAGTTGGAGGAAATGAGCGGTGGTGGTCTACTGTGTGAATGGGCTGGACGGTGGGAAATAGTTGGAGTAGCCACATCCCATACAGGCTGCTTCCAGGGATCACGTCCACGCATATATGATGATATTACTGCTGCAACAGTCAGGTGGATCAAAAAAACTATTGCAGCTTTCCAACGTAATTCATAACCCATAAAAAGGATCAGTCTTCTCACTTCCGTAGGGTCTGTACCTTAGGGACCTACCTGCCACAACCACCCTGCCTGAAGACATGTAAAAATGTTTATGTAAATTCCTGCGGGTTGTTATCTATGTTCGTCTCTGGAATCAAAGCTGTGTGTGATGTAATTCAACTGAGCTGTGCTTGGATGTGACATCTACACAGCAAGGGATACCTGTACTGACATGTGCTTGCACACCACCACACTTTTTACTGGAGGTGTCTATTTACATATCAAATACTAGACATGTCATCATAGTTAATTTGATCTCGGAACAACCATATCAAATACATATCTCAAGAATCATAGTTTGATATTGACATAGGGGTTTATAAATATTTATCGAAAAGGATTTATTGTTACTTTGATGTAGAGAATTTAAAAAATTTAATAAAGTGTGATTGTTATGTTAAATGACAGAGTTTATTATTTGATTGCACAATACCTTGTAGACTCCATATTCTCGTTATTTTTAAAGACCTCTACAATAGCTTCAAGCATGAATACATAAAAAGTGTTTATCAATTATAATTTAAGGTTAATTTTTAGAAAAAAAAAAAACTGCAGGACGAGATGGGCCCATACTCAATGTGTTGTGCTTAGTGGTAGAGTAGTCATAGTTTTGGGAGCCTTGCCTATTTCCTGTCAGCTTATGAACACTGTAAAACATGTATAGGTTGGCATTCTTGTGACTACACCTAACCACCATGCATTCTCATAGTTTGGGATGATGTAGATGGTATCTCCTGATGGTTCCATAGTTGCTGCATCTAGATGGTGTGTGCTATTTGTCCTCTGGCTGTGTGGAAGTATGTTTATAAATGTGTCCATGAATAACTGGACAGCATGTGTGCTAGTGGCCCTATGGCTACTTTTGCTGATGGTTCTGTGTCTACATGTGCTTTACAAGTGTAATGTCACACTTGCTTGTCTGACTCATAGTGCCACCTATAGTCTCTGGAAAAAATAAAATGATACATAAACTACAAAAGTTTCATGAGCTTTACCAGGAAAATTTGAATCAGTATCTGGTCGTCATACTCTTTGCTTTCATTTATGTTTATAATCCTTTCTGTTTGTTACACAATTGGCAGCAAACTTTTTATTTGTCCCTTTTTTTTTTTCCAGAGACTAAGTATAGCTGGCAGTATAAATTATAAGACACTGCATTGTAATCTTATAATTGCCACCAGCATATACACACACACACACTGCTGATAGCGTGAATAATGAAACATCGGCATCTATGTCTCAAGACTGCTCTATTGTTTACAAATGTGTCAATAAATGTTGTACAGGAAGCTGGTTTGCTTTTGGTTGTGTGAACAATCTCTGACTACAGAGACATTTTATAATCTTACAATGACCTGTTGTAAAGAAACACATATACAAGATTTTTAGTAGTAAAGTGTTTTCATGCTCTGTATGGTTTTGTTAAAAGTAATAAAATATCAGGTTTGTATGAATACTTTTTTTTTACTGCAAGAACAACTTAAATTAATTTTTTTATATATATTTCAAGTTAATACCTTTATACTATTGACAGTGAAAAAGATCACATAAGGTTTATTACAGTGAAATGACTTTGCTCAATCTGGAATGCATTTGTACCATTATGTCCAGTATCTTAACAGTTCATGTATGTATTCATAAACTGGACAGTTTTTTTTTTTTTAATATTAAAGCAAATATTCACACTCACTTATTTTCTGATGTAATAATTCTTGATAAATGCATAATTCTCTCGACTCTCAGGCACATCGACACAGGTTCTTTATTGACAAAATATTTTGCCTGCATAACTTCGTGTCTCCATCTTGCATCAAGGTTGAGGGAATGATTCCACGAAACTTCCCGTCTCCAGGATTGTAATTCGTCTCGAATACAGAGACGAATTACAATCCTGGAGACGGGAAGTTTCTTGGAATCATTCCCTCAACGTTGATGCAAGATGGTCAGCCTTAGCCTAAATCAGAGGCATGAGGCCAGGTAACTTGTGTAATGGAACAGGAAGTGAGGTGTAGCAGCCAGGAGGTGTCACAAGTGAACTGGGTCCAGAAGTGGAAACAAGGCATGCTACAGCATTAGAACTAGAGCTTAAGACATCATCTGTACCAAAATACCATGGTGCTGATGTGTCAGACAAGTATTATGGTATACAATAATGCCAAGTTAATGGACAAGACTTGCAATGTCAATATGCCCATATTGTATACTATTTGTAATACCCGTAACACAGTAACATCATGACATCTTAGTACAGGGGATGTCTTCAAAAAAAACTATTGCTCACAACTGTTTAGAATGACCTACTTCTACTAGTGGGCCCAGTTTACCTGTGACCTAATCTCTAAGCTGCTGCACCTCACTTCCTGTCCTCTGCGTTAAGCTAAGAGATGAGACTGACCAGGTTCCATCACAACTGAAGCCATTTCGTCAATAAAGAAATCAAACTTGTATCTTAACACACACCAGCCCGTCCTCCTAAAAGTGTAAACTTGTTTACTGTTTTAAAGCTAAATTCTTGATTTATACAAGGTTGGGTCTTTCTAGATCATTTATTAATAAAAATTTCTATTATTGTGTGCCATAATGCAATACATGATAAAAACTAATGAAGTGTGAACAGAAAATGGGACTCAAAAGGTCTGTCAAATAATCACTTTTCATTCCAATGTCAGTTACACATCTAAGCAACAGTAAAGTACAGACTGATTAGGAGGATGGGCTGCATGCATACAGACGCTAAAACTCAACCCCTGCAATCACATATAGATTAGTACATAAATGAGGACCTTCAGCTAGATTTAGATGTTACAGGGATGGTGAAGCAACTAGCTGCCAAGTTCAAGGTCATGAAATTTGGTGAAGAAGAGACCAGAGACAATACAGACTGAGAGGTGTGAAACTACAGGCATGGACAAAAAAGGCAAGAGTGAATATCACACTGAACATATTGGCGGATAAGAATGTAAATCATACAACTTGCCAGCCTATGTGAGGTTAACAAATCTTGGAATGACCCTCAGAAATGACAATGGTCTTTTAGGATTTTTGTACACACAGTACATCAGGCTCTTTTTCGAATGTGCAGTGCCAGCTTGGAGTCCCCCACCTGATTAAACATGCTCAAAAGCTTTGAGAGATGCAAAATTTTGTATCTGTATTAGTCCCAGAACTAAGAGGGGTACATTATTAGGAGAAACTGACAATCCCATAATAAAGACAATGGAAGACCTGATCATTTACAAGATACCTGGGAATTAATATGGCCAATAAAACACACAATCACAGGATGTCCAAAAGTGCTTTGTCTCGAAGGCACTAGGAAAGTGGAATAAACTGGAGAAGCCAAGTGATATAACATACAGAAAACTTGCTACATTTTGATTACTAGCCTTGGTCTTATGCTCAAGGGAGGTGGCAGGGAATTATGAACAATGGTACATGAATATATTTGTTGATAATGCACAACCTTATACAAGATAAGCAACTGTGTATGATTACAGGAAGATTAAACTAATTAAGTGGATCAAGATGATGAAATCTAATGTTATATAATGGAAGCAAGTTAATGTGAAACATGCCAGACACACACACAATATAAACTGTGTAACAGAACACTAAAGGTATTAAAAGGACCTAGGAGTCATCAATGACAACTGTCACCAGGAAATTACAAACTAAATAGTGAGGAACCCTTAGTTTTGAATGCTACTTAGAGATGTGGATGAATTAAAAAACTGCTCACAACATACTTAGTGGCAAATTAGCTAAAGGAGCAGTTTTTATGTGAAATGGAGCTTCATTTCACATAATTGCTTCAATGGAGAAAGCGTCTTTTCTCCAAATTTATATATCTTATCCATCACTGAGTAATTGTAAGCATACGATATTAATGGATAAATCTATTGCATATACATGTACAAGGTATGTGTGTTCCTCCAGGACCCTTTTGCTCTTAATCTGCCACTACATATATTACACCAAAATTGAAATATGCAATGCTATTATGGTGTCCACACACAAAAAACACTTTAAATGAAGTCTAAAGATTTTCCACAAAACTACTCCCAAAGTTAAAAACTGGATATACCATCTTTACTGACAGAAGAGAATGAGGCAAGATAAACACATTCAGGATTATAAAATAATATAAAAGAATTGACCAAAAAAAAAAAAAAAAGGAAGTTTTTGAAGAGAAGCAGAACAATGTAATGAGCTACAATGGTAAATTTTCAAAAATTACAATGTACATACTAAAGATGAGACACCAGGAGTTCAGTTTAGCTTCTGTAACTACAAAGAGGTAATCTCACATACATGTTCTCTAAAAAAAAAAAAATTTAAAATGTCAGAAAATAAATGAGTAAGAACTTTGAGCTATTGACAGACAGTTAATAACGATTTTAACCATTTAAATTTATCACAATTTGCATATACACAAATATATACATGTATATGAAAACTTTTTTAAATCTTCCTAAATGCTTGTTAAAGACTGTTTTTAAATAATTAATTCTTTTAAACACAATCTTTGATGAGGATAACTGGCAATTTAAGTTGCTTTTCCATATTTGCCCTATACTATTGTACAGTTAAAATATGACTTACAGTTTGTATATACAGTAATTATGAGCATGAACTAATAAAAAATGTAATAAAATGTGAAATGTTTTTGTTCTATATAATTCAACATGCCTGCCCTGTCCAACAAGCAATGTTTATAATATTGTACAATTCACATATCTCTATTACAGATAAAGTTGTCAAAAGATTGTAAGTAGCATCACATTACAAAATGAATAAATAGCAAAACTGAAAAAATTTCAAAATTAATGGGCTCTGAGATAGCCACATACAGTATTCGACTCTGGAAGACCTGACCGGCCTTTTACGTCGTACTGAGCTATGAGCACTAATGATATAGGACTGACTAGGTAGAACTTTCACTCTAGTCTATAATGCTAGGTGGAGCTGTTTTATATGTGTAATATTAGTGGAACAAGCAGGCATCCAGTATGCTCTATGTGCAGGGTGACTTAGGGATGTATGAACACAGGATCTGTCAGAGATGTTACACCAACATGTGGAGCTGTACTCTGATTTCTCCTGAGAAAGTTGATGTAATATGGCAGTTTTGTGTAATGCCTAAAATATTGTGAAATATTTTTGTTGAATGCCCGATTGTATTGACCATTTATAATATATGCGATATTTTCTTAGATATTAAGCAAATTCGCAGGGTGTACATACAAGTATCTGTTTTGAATTAAAAATTACACAATTCAGTACACTAATATTTAATATGTTCAAATTTTTAATTACTAACATATAAATTAAAAACTAACTTAAGGCTACGAAACCAGTAGTCTTTGCCATTACATACAATTATTCTAAATTTAAGTGTACCCATACCTATCAAAATCAACTACATGAAAAATATTTATGCTAATAGATTAACTGTAGTGGCCAAGAATGGCATCACCTTGTGTCTGACCATACTAATTTTATCTTAATTTGTCATGATACTGTTGTACCCCTGCTTCTTCCAATGAAAGTGTACTATTCTGAAGAACATGTGACAAATGCTGCCTGTAATGTATAAAGAATTATGTAAATTGGTTTGTGTATAAATAATAACTATGTTTGATGAGTAAACAGTGTTTTCTTAGCCAAGTACCTTGGTTCCATTTGCAAGTGCTATACTTGTAACTCTGAAAACGTTTCAGTACTGAACGATCTATAGCCTTTGAGATAAATAAGCAGTCATGTTAAACGATTGAAAATTATCACCTAAATATTAATCAATGTCATAGAAATCTTGTGTGATTTTCAACTCAAACATCCTGGTGACATTAACTTAGCTATGCTTGGTTTAACATTTGATAATAAACTAGTAGCCTGCCCATTCAAATATATTGGAGCTGTAAAATTTAAGCACTTGTAGTTAATATATTCGAGTTTACTTGGAATGTCCTAAACCATAAAAATTTATTTTTTAATGTTTTTTTCTTCGCAAGCAATGTCAAGTTCGAGTTACCTTCAACCTCCTCATGGCTACTTCTCTGAAATCTTTTCTCCAATATTACTCCTCTCACATGCAAAGGAATTTGAAGTGTTATCTGTAAAATACAAGAAATGTAAGTAGCCAACCTATCATCAGTCTTGAATGTTACATACCATGTTAATGTATCCCACATTTCCAAACCCTCCAACCCAACCACTGCAAGGCCTTGGTTTGATGATCTTACATGTGTTTTATCTGGAACTGCTATACATTTTCTTTAAAAGTGCCTGCACCCAGAAGGATGGGTAGGGATGCTGCTGTTCGGATAACCATTTAAATTGTGATGTCTGTGTACTTCTGGCAAGGAAACTATCAAATGAGAGTCAATGTGTTTCTGTTTTGGGCCACCCTGCCTTTGTGCAAAATAACTGGTATGGCAAAAAAAATAAAATTAGCAAATGAAGGCAATGTGCTGAACAATCCCAAATACAGCACATTCCAATTTTTGAAGACATCTGACATATTTCCTTGCTGGGATATAAATACAATTAGGTTTGATATAAGAGAAACTACCTTTATTGTGTGAATACTTTTAACAAATATACATAAATATACTGATGATCATTTTCCTTACTGCACAGTTATATGTCCTTAGGTGCTGCACTAGAAATCTCAAAGAATATGTCTGGCATAACATAAGGTGTGATTTAGTGAAAACTCAAACTCTACATATAATGTAATGAAAACTCGTAATCAAAATATTAAAAAAATTGATACACAATGCTGCGCATTTTAGTAAAACATCAAATACAGTAGGTTTCCACCTTGATTTTCTGCACTTATAATATTGACACTTAGGAACGAATTAATTACTTTTGAAACATGATCCACAGTTATAAACATTGCAAATATTCAAACAAATTCATTTAAAGAATTTTTTCTTAGTTTTATTATTAAATGCATTCATACTTTGTGTATGTTCATTTTATGCACATATTCATATATCTAACTTTCGTTTTTCCTTTTGGGCCACCCCGCCTCGGTGGGATACGGCCGGTGTGTTGAAAGAAGATTCATATATCTGGGAGTGGACATGTTGGCAGATGGGTCTATGAAAGACAAGGTGAACCAAACAATAGTCATGAGGAAAAAGTTAGGTGGTGTGTTGAGGCATCTGTAGAAAGAAAAGTTTTATCTATGGAAGCAAAAAAAAAATAACGTCCCAGACTATAGTGGTACAACAGTTTTATGTGGGTGTGAGGCATAGTCTTTAAGTGTTGCAGTGAGGAGGAGGCTGGAAGCAGTGGAGACATTATGTTTGAAAATAATGTGTGGTGTGAATATTATGCAGAGAATTCAGAAGACTGAGTAGGGTTACCAAAGATATAATTTAGAGGGCTGAAGAGTTACTGAGGCAGTTCAGGCATTAAAAGGGGCTGAAGAATAATAAGATGACCAAGAGTGTGTATAGAAGGAATGATGGGGATTACTCCAGTCATCTTACACCATACATTCATTCACACCTGTGAGAAAGTGCTAAATATGTGTAAAGAGTACTGTATTTAGATATGATGTGAGAGAGGGTGAGAATGAAGAGGAAGTATGAGAAAGACAGTCCAGCCACTATCTGCCCCTACACATCTGTACTGTACTCTGTTCTGTTTATTTAACATGTACACATTAAACTATTTAATAATATTTGTTAAACATTGTTTAATTTAAGGAATGGTACTGAATGTAAAACAATGGATAAATATTCTTAATTAAAAACTAAATAAAATTAGATACTGAAAATCATGGCTAAGTAACTCATCACTGATTATAACATGGGTCTGTGGGAAAAAATGGATTCCAAGTTGTGAACAATCAACTCCAGAAAAATTTACAGGAATGAATTAATGTAGTTACAACCTTGTTAAAAATGAGAAATGCACATATAGTATATTTACATTTAAGAGTAGAAGGCACACTTCTCTTAAGTTAATAATCATAAATGTTCGTGTGTGACTATTAGTATTAATATATGTAATCCTTTCACAATTTCAAGTTACAACCTAACTAGGATGATCCAAATTTATACACATCACTTGTATGATTATATATAAAAGTTTTGAGTATGTTATAATGATGAAATCTATGTCTTTAAGTGAAACTTGTACACCCCATAGTTAATTACTCTAAGTACAGTAATTTGCAATTCTTGTGGAGACAAAACAAAATCTCACATTATAAATACTCATTCACCTTGGCTCTGGTCACTCTGCCCTGGCTGCTCTTCTAACACAGCGAGGACACTTCCTCCGTCCTCGAGCGCACACGGCATGGTACACCCCATAGCACACAGCACACTGCAATTTTTAAGATTTAAGGAGCTAATTATAGTAATGGGGAAGTGTTAACTCCATAAGGGTCATACAGCACTTGATCTGAGGAAGGGGAGGAGTAGCTTCAATTCTTAAGCCCAAGAGAATGTCAGCAGCATCAAGACAAACAGAAAATTTTACAGTATAATGATAAAATGCTGTACGGTTTAATTATAATAAACGGTGCTATCGTAATATACTCAATGAATTTCAATCCAGTGTTATGGATGGGATCAATATATATTTAATTCATACAGCATTTTAAAATAAAACAAAAGATAAATTTTGCAGTTATATTAAAAAAATTAATAGTATTTTTATATTGTAATAAAACAAAACAAATAATAATATCTTCTTTCAACACACCGGCCGTATCCCACCGAGGTGGGGTGGCCCAAAAGGAAAAATGAAAGTTTCTCTTTTTACATTTAGTAATATATACAGGAGAAGAGGTTACTAGCCCCTTGCTCCCAGCATTTTAGTCGCCTCTTACGACACGCATGGCTTACAGAGGAAGAATTCTGTTCCACTTCCCCATGGAGATAAGAGGAAATAAACAAGAATAAGAACCAGAAAGAAAATAGGAGAAAACTCAGAGGGGTGTGTTTATATGTGCAGTGTGACCTAAGTGTAAGTAGAAGTAGCAAGACGTACCTGCAATCTTGCATGTTCATGAGACAGAAAAAAGGACACCAGCAATCCTACCATCATGTAAAACAATTACAGGCTTTCGCTTTACACTCACTTGGCAGGACGGTAGTACCTCCCTGGGCGGTTGCTGTCTACCAACCTACTACCTAGGAAATAATGAAATATAAAGTATATAAAATTTTCTTCAGTAACTTTTTAGTAACTGAATAAAGAAGTGGTTAATATCCCCTCACTTCAAGTAAGTTGGTGAAAAGTTTTTTTCGTTGGATCACCCTGCATTCGCGGGATGTGCGAGATCACAGTTCAAATTACCCTCTGACTACAACATCCCTACCCCTCCTCCTGAGTGCAGGCACAGTCCTTCCTACTTCCAGAACTTGTCCAGTTAACCAGTTTTCACTGAATCCGTTCATAAAAGTCACCTTGTTCACACTCCAACATCATGTCCATTAAAAACTACTTGTTTCCATTCACCCCTATCTAAAACACTCGCACTGGCTGCTCAGACCCCTAAGACTCACAAGCCTCTTTTACCCCCTTCCTCCAACTGTTCCTGGGACAACTCCTACCCCTCCTACCTCAGTCCATATTCATACACTCTCCTTGTCATTCTATCCCTTACTAACCTCTCTACATGTCCAAACCACCTTAACCTCTCATCAGCCCTTTAAATTATATCCTTGGTGACCCCAGACTGCCTTTAATTTCTACGCTCCAAATTCTCTGCATGACATTCACACCACAAATTGCTTTCAAACAATGACATCTCCACTGACTCTAGCCTCCTCCTCCACTGTAGCATTCAAAATCCATGCCTCTCACACACACACAAACATGTTTTTACCACTGCTGTATACTCTGGTACATTCCCTATTTTTTTTTTTTTGCCTCCATAGAAAAACGTTTCTCCTTCCACAGATGCTTCAGCACACCACCCAACATTTTCACTTTGTCTTTCATTAGTCAGTTCCACAGGATCTAAATTCTCCATTCCTTTTCTCCATGCTCTTTCCCTCTAATCTGATATTCAATGTTACCCTCATCTCTTTTTTTTTACATACCCTACCAAATACATCCACCAACCTTTGCAACTTGTCTTCAGAATATACAGTGCTAGTCACGGCATTATGCTGGGCGAGTGCCCCGGCATAATGCTGTGACGAAAATCAAAGGCTTTCCATACAGGGGGTGGGTAATTTTTCATCAGTGCATTATGCTGGGTAGCATCCATCAGCATGACATCACGGTCTGCTGCCACTCCACAGTGACTCCTCAGTGCTCACGTGGCTGCCGTGGTGAAAGGAAGTATTGCACTTTTGTCTCTCATCCACCTCATCTTTTGTCCGGTGTTCCCTATGGTTTTGGGGCTATACACGGTTGATTATGGGTAAAGTGAAGTCTTTAACACCCGAAACTATAGCTCAAATCATAGGGCTTCACAAAGCTGGGCACCAGATGAAAGAAATTGTGGAAAATATTGGTGTGAGAGAGAGTTCACTGAGGAACTGGGTGCAGCATTTCAAGGCTGGTGGTGGTGTCGAGTTACCATCTGCCAAACATCAGCCTGGCCCCTCGAAGAAGACATCTGTTCGTACTTTAACTGTGTTAAAGAAGCAGTTAGAGAGTACACCTAAGATAACTGCTAGAGAATTGAAAGAAAAGAACCCACATCTTCTCTCAGAGGTGTCTGTAAGAAATGTTAACAGACATGTGTCAGAACTGAGCTACAGTAGTCACCGCCAGGTCAAGAAACCGATGCTCTCCAAGTTCACAGAAGAAACGTAGGTTGGATTATGCAAAGAAATATCTTCACTAGAATCCTAAACAGTGGTTTGAAGTAATTTGGAGTGATGAAGCAATCTTCACCATCACCTGTAGCTGTGGGAGACATGCAGACCGGCCGAGAGGTAATGACCAGCCAGACCCATGCTACACCTTTGGGACCACCAAACACCCAGACTCGCTCATGGTTTGGGGGTGTTTCAGTGCTCAGAGTGTTGGTGAACTCATTGTGCTTCCCAAGAACCAGCACAGCGGACCCCCGGATTACGTAATTAATCCGTTCCAGAGAGAGTGACTTTTCCCGAATTAATTTTCCCCATAATAAATAATGGGTTTAAAAGGGCCACTCAAAGATAAGCCTTATGTAGTGGTGGTGAAGGTGGCGATGTTAGTCAGTAGCCCTATGTACCTCCAACAACAATGGAGGAGCCAGCTTTGTGCTGTCCTTTTTCTATCAATTAATCGCTTAACTTACTTGCTACACTGTTAATACTACACTTTATCGCTGGCTGGCACTATAGCCTTTATCAACTCCTGCTTCTTTAGTATCGTACATACTGAAGAATCACTGAAAAAGGCACATTCTCCCCTCTCTCAGCCCTTTACCAAAGGGCTGGCTGGCACTAGTAGCTATCTTTAGGCCCATGGTGGCTTATTTAGCAGTTACAAGCACTAAAAAGAATGGAATAATACAAACTGTATCGTATGAACGCATGGGACTGTCCTCACTGGCTGTACATGGAGTGTCAGGGCCGCACGGACACGTTTCGGATGAATGACTTATACCGAGTTCAGCGACATTCGCCGAGCCAACATTTTGACAAAAAGACGTTACTTATTCCAAGGGTCCACTGTATTTTTTTTTTTTTTAACAAGTCATCCATCTCCCATCCAAAAAGAAAGAAAATCCCCAAACAGAAAATATTTTCATCATCATTCAACACTTTCACCTCACTCACACATCATCACTGTTTTTGCAGAGATACTCAGAATACAACAGTTTAGAAGCATATACGTATAGATACACAACATATCCCTCCAAACTGCCAATATCCCAAACCCATCCTTTAAAGTGCAGGCATTGTACTTCCCATTTCCAGGACTCAAGTCTGGCTATATAAAAATAACCGGTTTCCCTGAATCTCTTCACTATATATTACCCTGCTCACACTCCAACATCTCGTCAGGTCCCAAATACCATTCGTCTCCATTCACTCTTATCTAACACACATGCACGCTTGCTGGAAGTCCAAGCCCCTTGCCCACAAAACCTCCTTTACCCCCTCCCTCCAACCTTTTCGAGGATGACCTCTACCCCGCCTTCCTTCCCCTACAGATTTATACGCTCTCCATGTCATTCTACTTTGATCCATTCTCTCTAAATGACCAAACCACCTCAACAACCCCTCTTCAGCCCTCTGACTAATATTTTTATTAACTCCACACCTTCTCCTAATTTCCACACTCCAAATTTTCTGCACAATATTTACACAATACATTGCCCTTAGACAGGACATCTCCACTGCCTCCAACCGTCTCCTCGCTGCAGCATTTACAACCCAAGCTTCACACCCATATAAGAGTGTTGGTACCACTATACTTTCACTGTATATGAACCAGTATAATTACCTGGAGTTATTGTGTGACAATTTACCTGAGGCGTTGAAAAGTGTGGGGCTACGGTTTTTATGCAGGATGGTGCACCATGTCATACTGCCAAATCTGTAGTTCAGTGGCTTAAAGACTGTGAAGTGAGGTTCTTTAATGACTGGCCAGGTAATTTCCCAGACCTAAACCCTATCGACAACCTCTGGTCAATAGTGAAACGAAGTTTACTGGGTAAGAATATCAGTTCCATTCCACGGCTGGAGGCTGTTCTACAGGAGGCAAGGAATAATATACCTCCCCAAACCCTCAAGAATTTGCGAGTCTTTCTACATGGCTGAGGGACATGATTAAGCATAAAGGATGCAGCACCAAGTATTAAAACCTCAATAAGTGTGCAAATATTATAATCCTTCATGGTATGTGTTTGGGTTTTGGTATGTGTGTGGGGACTGGGCGGCATAATGCCGTGACTAGCACTGTATGTACAATTATTTAACACACTGGTTATCTCTCATCGAGATAAAGTGACAAAAAAAGGGAAACAGTAGATAACCACAAACAGGTATTCATGAAATGACAGAAAATTCTATAGGAAACATTTAATCATCATCTCTCATGTACAAGGTGCTATCAAAATGTTTGCAATAATGCACTGACATGACAAAACATGACCATTTAACCTCAACAGAATGGACAACCACACTGAACTCTCCATGGTACTTCACAAAAAGTGTGTACTGTGCAGCATGATCTGCCCCTCTGTCACATTTCACCCAGAAAGTGCATGAAAATTCAAGTATGGAAACCCTTTGATGGTACCTCTTATCTCACTGCTGAGAAAGCTCAATATATAGTACAAGCATTATACTGATACGGAAGTTCTAAACCCATAAGGACCATATGGAAAATGAGAGGAAATCACATTAAATCCAGGGAATGGTGGCTCCAATTCCATAGATTAGAAGCCCTTCACTGGTATCAGGGTACACATTCCCCCACAGATAAAAAAAACATAAAAAGTACTAACTGTGTATGTATTGCCAAGCTGGAATGGATAGATGATTTCTGTATCCGAACACAGCTCACAAATGAAGCCTCGGGGAGAGCAAACCTCACACTGGCTTATGTGCTCACGTCCGAAAGTGACGGCTTGCCTTACTCTAGGCACAAGTTGACCACTAGCCACCAGTTGTAAGTCCTGAAACATATACATCAGTTACAAAAATCACTTGTATGGATATAAGGTACAGTGGGCATTCAATCTGCAAGGGTTACATTCCTGAACACTGCTACCAATAGTTTCCCCAGCTTATGGACTTAAAAAACATATGGGAAAAACAGAGTTGTGTTCCTCAGACCTCAAAAAAAAAAAAAAAATTTTTACTATCACAATTCTTCAAAAGATAATAGTACCACTGTATTTCTTTCCAGCTAATTTTGTGGATGAGCATATGCTCTGTGAAATACCTGAACTTTAGAGAGGTTCAGACAGTTAAAAAAAAAAAAAAAGAGTACATGCAGCTATAAATTGGTTACTTTAATACTTTACAGTATTTATTTCTTAATTTCAAGTTGGGTTGGTGGTTAACACACTGAAGTGAGTGAAGAGGGTGGCTGTGACCCATTAGGGACCTTGTTTTATTTAGATGTAATGACCTATTCCTCTTTCTTTTCACTGTGTCACACTGAGGATTGCTCATCGTTTCGTATAGAACAAGTCATTGATTCTCTCCCTCAAAATGTTCATGCCATCTCCACGATGCATGCACCACCCTTCAGCATCTCAATTACTGCACCTCTAATTTTTTTAAATAGGCATAGTTTCATGCTTAATTTTCTTCCTTGCTTCACCAGCTTAATTTCTAATCCATTTGGATGCCATGATAAATATCCAAAGATGAGATGAGCACTAAGCAAAAATCATATTTTACATATACAGATACACTGACCCACGTGGAAAACTGTTTGTTTACATCCATTCACCCTCCCTTACACCCTTCACCACACTTCCAAAACAATGGAGTTCCCCAATATGTAATGATGAGTTTCCTGCCTCCCTGTCATGATGCTTCGCAAAGGAAATGAATTCCACTCTGGTATGCCTTAATGGAAATGGCATGCCTCTATTGAAAATGAAAGCCTGAATGTAAATTGCATAGTATTGAAAATGTGAGCTATGATCACACAACTTTAGGTTTTTCCACAGCGTATGATACCGACAAGTGGAAAAGGACACTTGTAGAGCATAGGCCTTGTTCCAATCAACATGTTGAAGTGATTGAGATGTGTCTTTCTCCGTATCACTTGTATTAACTTAAATAAATCATTCTTATTTATCACATACATAAACATACAGAATTTACACACATTTATATCAATAAACAAGAAATATCATTTATACACATTACTTGCATGAACAAACATGCACTTTATACACATTACATATACCATCCGACTTACGACCTGCTCAACATACAACCACTCGACTTATGACCATGTTTTGTATGCAGATGTTCTGGGAAATAAACAACTGTGTTGTATACAGTGTTTCTCCCAAACCTTACAGTATAAAATACAGTACTAACAGCATGAAAAGTATAGTAAAAAATGAAATACCAAAATAAAACAATAAAATAAAATCATTACATAGTGTGATGCTGATATTCAGTAGCAAGGTTTGACTTTCGTCCATTTTGACTTACAACCGGTTAGTCGTAACCAAGCTCGGTCATAAGTCCGATGGTAGGTGTATATACAACCACACATCACTTACATAAACAATTATATACAGAATGTATATACAGTACCATCATTAATATAAATAATGATATATACATCTTTTACACACTTACATAAATAATAACATACACATTAATAAGGGAGTACCTCCATGGAAGGTTGCACAGCATATGATATTCCACTTTTTGTAACACAAGTACACTTTTTGGTTTACACAATTTTCACTGGGTCACTGAACTGGAAATGTTAAATCTTTGTGTACTATATTATCTGCGACTGTACTGTACCTCTACACTCCTGAACACTCTGCATGTAATATATAAGTATCAATACTCACAGCAACTGAGTAGAGATGAACATGTTCATACATATGTTCTCTTGGCCAGAGCATCTTCCGTAGTTGTTCCCCAACACCTGATCTACAGGTGAACAAGTACGCTCGCACATACAACAGCTGAGTACGTAGCATCTGAGTGTATGAAACCAAATTGTTAAAGTAAATAATGATGTTTAAAGTGTCAGTCTGCACGCTACAGGATAAAAGCTCACATTCAAACACGAGGTGAAACTTAAGAACGAGCAAGGTCATGTATCAAGACTGGTGCCTGAATTGAGAGTAATGACTTGCAAAGAGAAAATGCAAGTGCCAAGTATAATGCTACTTGAGGAATACAGAGAAAGAAAAGATATGATCATGATATACAAAATACAACAGGGTATAGACAAGGATAGCTGTTCTTTTCCAGAAATGCAACAAGAACAAGTGTGCATAGCTGGAAATTACATACCAAAATGAGCCACATGGACATGAGGATGCCTTTCTCCCAATGTTTGTGATAAAGGAGTAAACTGCCTGCTTTTAACATTAGTGTTGGAAATGGCAACGAGTGAAGTTTCAACACACATTCATCATCTTAAATTTGATTTCCAATGGATCAATTTAGCATTTTGTCAACTCGTAGGATTTATCTAGATGTTTCTGTGTTTGACAAGCATTGCTGGTGTCATCCTTGCTGCAGCTGTTATTTGTTCCTTAATTCTTGTGAACAAATCTCTTCCCAAAAAGAAATTTTTCCTGGTGATCCTTTCCTCACCACTCTGTCAACCTAATTGCTGCCCACAAGAGGATGGTGAATACTCCTATTTTCTTAAAAGGAAACATTAAAAGGAGACTTTCTTGGTGAGGTATCCAAGTGCAGCAGTGACACGAGTAGAGACTTTAAGGCTATTTTTGGCAAGAGCCATTACTGCCACCACTTAATTGGGTGACTTCATCAAGAAAAAACTCCATTTAATGTTTCCTCTAAATAAATAGGAATATCCACCATCCCCCATGGGCAGTGTAACAAGATTTATATGGAGTAAACCTGGAGAGACTTGCCTGCAAGAATTAATGAACATAAAAATGCCTGCAGCACAAATGACATCAGCAATAAATCAGAGAGAGGGTGGGGCTTAAACCTATGACAAGAGAGGCCTGAAACTCTCAGGCCAGTTCCATGACCTGCTTGCAATCATGTTATTACAATTTCACAAGTCATGACATCAGCAATGCTTGTGCCATACCCAGAAACACAAAGAAGCATCACATGTATAAGGAAGATGCTTAACTGATCTACTGAGAACCAGATTTAAGTGGACAAAGATGAATTAAGGATTCACTCACTGCCACCTCCAATGCAGTCATTCAAAAGGTTGGCAGTTAACATATTTCTACAACATAGGACCATATAATAAAATATACTTTCATAAGACTGCCACGAAATATGCTGATAAGATATACCATCCTCCACTACTGGTGTCCCTCACAGACTACTACTATCACAGTTGAATCTCATTAATTGTGTAACTAGTTAATGGTCCAAGTTGGACCAAAAAGCCATTGTAAGTTTCATTCACCTATGTGTGGGCTATTTGTGTACTGTTTCAGTCACGGTATTGTGCCTTTTCATTCGTGCACCACTACTATTACTACTTTCCCTTGATCCCCCGAAGACAGAAGAGAGAGAAGGAACAATAGCAGTGACCTGAAAATAAAGTACATTCTCCATGACCTGTGTCTGTTTTTGGGTTACCAAAATTGGTGGCAAGTGCTAAAAACAAACTGGTGAAACAATTATTAAAGCAATCAAACCTGCATTTCAGCTAAATCCTCCACATGACAATAGAGTTTAGGGTTGAGTGTGCGTAGATCAATCAATGGTTGATGATGGATGGCAGCTAACCAGCGAGCATTGGCCGTGCACACAGGATGTGCACTAAAATCCCAGTTATGCAAAATGCGAGCAGGAATCAATGCCGTCTCATCCTCATGGCACTCATAGCAGTAATATCTCGAGTCATAATTGCACACTCTGTAAGGCAATATTATTCATGATACTCATATTTGTATATCATTCTGCTATTACACTCTCTGTAAGACACCAACATATAAAATACTCCTTACAAACTTGTTTTTGTACATCATTTTGTCACACAGCTGCAGTGGGATCACATGATCAAAAGCAATTTAAATCTTTAATTACCAACTACCTACAGTACACAAGTCTTAAAACACTCAGTTCAGTTATGTACAATATATCAACACTCACACTAGCCTGACTTCAGAGTTTGGTACTAACTATCAGTAGTATCACTACAAAAGTAAATGCAATATTTCAACCACAAGATATCCCTGGTACTCAATAGCCCTGACACTCAAAGTTGTTAATGTTATATTTTTTTCCCTTGCATGAAACGTCTAGGAAAAGTACTATATGCAAGTGAAGCAGGAAGAAGCTTAAATATACATGTGAAGGAACACAAAAGTGACATTAGAAATAACAATAACAGTACTGTACTATGTTCCATTAGCAATAACAATAACAGTACTGTACTATGTTCTGTTATGTACACAGTTTTGACCACAGAATAAATTCAACAATAAACTAGTTTTTAAATCTGATAATTACCAAAAAATGCATATTGCTGAAATAAATATTACTGCATCATTTCCAAACTTTAATTTCTCTGAGGGACAATTTATTTTTAACTACACAGTGTATATGTACATGAATAAATTACCTTGGTTTACCATAAATCATTCCGACATATGATTTACACTGATGGCACTGATACTGTTGGGAGTCGAGACCTTCCTCACTTGTGAGTCGTGTCAGCAGAGGTAGAAGACGACTGGTATCCTGAAAGTTTTAAAGAGATGCAATTTTCTAAACTTGTATATATAGTACTTATTCATCTACCCACTGTACATCAATCAAAAAAGCCCAGACAACAGTTCCCATAAAACCCTGAAATACATCACTCAAATCTACATTTTGTATTACAGTACAGTATTATACAATGTTGTAGTATCTTCTGTGTAAGGCAAGTCTGCTCGAAATGCTCTGCACATTAAGGGGCTTTGTGCATGCACACCTAAATGTCATTCACCTTTGTACAAATACTGTATCATGCTGAAATTTTATATGGTGAAGCACTTTTAATCTGCAACACTTTCTCCTTAGATGCCATTTTAACACAAAAACAGTATACACATATGTACAGTGGACCCCCAGTATTCGATGGCATCGGTATTCGATAAATCCGGTATTCGATGCATTATATCACAAAAAATTTTCCTCGGTATTCGATTGAAAACCCGGTATTCGATACGATTCGTACGAGACCTGTCCACATGTGGCCTGAACTGCCCCTTGTGTGCCAGTGTTTACAAGCCAGCCAGTGTGCGCGCATCTAAGGATACATTCGGTACATTCCATATTATCCATATTATCACTGTGTATGGTGCTTGTTTCTGCAAAATAAGTCACCATGGTCCCCAAGAAAGCTTCTAGTGCCAACCCTGTGGTAAAAAGGGTGAGAATTAGTATGGAAATTAAGAAAGATTTTGAAGGGTTTGGGGATAACCCTGAGAAGCCTATACCAGTTGTGGAATACATTGTGCCTACTTCAAAAATTAAGGAAATGTGTGCACAGTGGGTTGAAGTGCAAACCTTTATGGATGAAAATCACCCTAACACAGCTATTACAATGACAATGTTGTGGCCCATTTTAGACAAATCGTAAAGGAACGGGATATGCAGAGCTCTATGGACAGATTTGTTGTGCGACAGATGTCCAGTGACTCTCAAGCTGGTCCTAGTGGCATTAAAAGAAGAAGGGAAGTAGCCCTGGAAAAGGACTTGCTACCTCAAGTCCTAATGGAAGGGGATTCCCCTTCTAAACACTAACACCTCTCCCCTCCTTCCATCCCATCAATCATCACCAGATCTTCATTAAAGGTAAGTGTCAATTACTTTATTGTTATTGTAATTATTCTATTGCATTACACTTAATATTTCATGTAGTAAATTTTTTTTTTTTCATACTTTTGGGTGTCTTGCACGGATTAATTTGATTTTCATTATTTCTTATGAGGAAAATTGATTCGGTTTTCGATATTATCGGTATTCGATGAGCTCTCAGGAATGGATTAATATCAAATACCGGGGGTCCACTGTATAATATACATAATAACTTTAAAGGGAAGGGGGACAAAAGAGATTGTAAAAATTATAGAGGAATAAGTTTACTGAGTATACCAGGAAAAGTGTACAGTAGGGCTATAATTGAAAGAATTAGAGGCAAGACAGAATGTAGGATTGCGGATGAGCAAGGTTTCAGAGTGGGTAGGGGATGTGTAGATCAAGTGTTTACATTGAAGCATATACGTGAACAGTATTTAGATAAAGGTAGGGAAGTTTTTATTGCATTTATGGATTTAGAAAAGGCATATGATAGAGTGGATAGGGGAGCAATGTGGCAGATGTTGCAAGTATATGGAATAGGTGGTAAGTTACTAAATGCTGTAAAGAGTTTTTATGAGGATAGTGAGGCTCAGGTTAGGGTGTGTAGAAGAGAGGGAGATTGCTTCCCGGTAAAAGTAGGTCTTAGACAGGGATGTGTAATGTCACCATGGTTGTTTAATATAATTATAGATGGGGTTGTAAAGGAAGTAAATGCTAGGGTGTTTGGGAGAGGGGTAGGATTAAATTGTGGGGAATCAAATACAAAATGGGAATTGACACAGTTGCTTTTTGCTGATGATACTGTGCTTATGGGAGATTCTAAAGAAAAATTGCAAATGTTAGTGGATGAGTTTGGGAGCGTGTGTAAAGGTAGAAAGTTGAAAGTGAACATAGAAAAGAGTAAGGTGATGAAGGTATCAAATGATTTAGATAAAGAAAAATTAGATATCAAATTGGGAGGAGGAGTATGGAAGAAGTGAATGTTTTCGGATACTTGGGAGGTGACGTGTCGGCGGATGGATTTATGAAGGATGAGGTTAATCATAGAATTGATGAGGTAAAAAATGTGTGGTGCGTTGAGGTATATGTGGAGACAAAAAACATTATCTATGGAGGCAAAGAGGGAATGTATGAAAGTATAGTAGTACCAACACTCTTATATGGGTGTGAAGTTTGGGTTGTGAATGCAGTAGCGAGGAGGCAGTGGAGATGTCCTGTCTAAGGGCAATGTATGGTGTAAATATTATGCAGAAAATTCAGAGGTGTGGAGTTAATAAAAGTATTAGTCAGAGGGCTGAAGAGGGGTTGTTGAGGTGGTTCGGTTATTTAGAGAGAATGGATCAAAGTAGAATGACATGGAGAGCGTATAAATCTGTAGGGAAAGGAAGGCGGGGTAGGGGTCATCCTCGAAATGGTTGGAAGGGGTAAGGGAGGTTTTGTGGGGGAAGGGCTTGGACTTCCAGCAGGCATGCATGAGTGTGTTCGATAGGAGACGAATGGTATTTGGGACCTGATGATCTGTTGGAGTGTGAGCAGGGTATTATTTAGTGAAGGGATTCAAGGAAACCGGTTATTTTTATATAGCCAGACTTGAGACCTGGAAATGGGAAGTACAATGCCTGCACTCTAAAGGAGGGGTTCGGGACATTAGCAGTTTGGAGAGATATGTTGTGTATCTTTATACGTATATGCTTCTAAACTGTTGTGTTCTGAGCACCTCTGCAAAAACAGTGATTATGTGTGAATGTGTTGAATGATGATGAAAGTATTTTCTTTTTGGGGATTTTCTTTCTTTTTGGGTCACCCTGCCTCGGTGGGAGATGGCCAACTTGTTGAAAAAAAAAAATAGCTTTAAAACACTTAAAACTTTGGAAAATTTCCAGCCAGAACCAAGAGATGCAGAGCTCACGGCAACACACCCAGGTTCACTTGTAGAAGTTATTATTATTATAAAACACCATGGGAAGGGTGCTTCATAAATGTATCTATGGTGTCAGTGTTTTGGGTGGGCAGCTAGAGTTTCACGTATATGCACTTGCCATTGATACAAGTTCATTTCGCATTATGCATATGACTGTGAAGTGTTTCCCAACAATATGAACTCCTTACATTTTGTACAAGTCATCTTCATGTTGGTGCAATAGAATATATAACCGCAAAACTCCCATTCTCATGCAACACACCATTTTTAAAGTGAATGATGCTATGAGTGAGAGCAAGCAAAAGAAATATTTTTCTATAGTTACCCCAGTAATACTACATAGTGGTACCTCGGGATATGAACTTAATTCGTTTCAGAAATCTGTTCGAGTGCTGATACCGAACGAATTTGTTCCCATAAGGAACAATGTAAATTAGATCAATCCATTTTACGCCCCCAAAAATAAACTTACAAAAGCACTTACATAAATACGCTTACATAATTGTTCATGTTTTGAGCTGTTCGTATCCCAAGATACCACTGTACTGTACACAGCTTCTCTGGTGTTGGACTAGAAAAAAACATAATTCTTGCTGTCACTACTACAAGCCACCCAGCCAACACAACCTCATATTTATGTCAATTTGTTCTACTATGGTTGTACAAATTATGTGATATGTAGCGAGTTTTTTATATAATTTTGAAAAACTGTCATAGATGGATTAATGAAAATGTCTATAATAAAGTAACATATGACAGTTAAAATACTTCAGAGCAATGATGATTATTATTATTATTATTATTATGATTGCATTTTCAACACTAGTGAGACACTCTTAGTAGTTTGGTCATAATTTGAAATGCCCATATGTATTAGCAAATCCCCTTAAAGCGGAGCCCTCCTGTACATAGATATGTTGTTTGTTTGTGGCAAGGAGGGGTGGGGTACAGTTTAACCCTTTGAGGGTCCGTCCCGTAGATCTACGGCTTTACGTTCAGGGTCCAAACCGTAGATCTACGTCATGAGCTCAGCTCACTCTGATAAACTGTGAGTGGTACATTTGGGCCTAGATATGAGAGAATACATCTATGTGGTATGTGTGCACCACATAAAACAGATCCTGCAGCACGCTGTGTATAATGAGAGAAAAAAAAACTGAAATCATGATTTTTCGATTAAAACAGCGACTTTGCAGTGTTTTTTCGTATTTTTTTTATAGTTCTATTTGCGATTTCTTGGTCTCATTTGATAGAATGGAAGACTATTTACAGAAATAGAGATGATTTTGATTGGTTTTAGCACTGGAAATGGCTTGAAACAGCTCAAAGTAGCAGAAATGTTAAATTTTTGCCGATATTCAAGAGTAAACAAACGACCTCACCCGTCTAATACACGCCAGCTGGTGGGTCTAATATGCATTCACAAATATGGTGATGATATTTATACAATTATTACAGTATTGCATAACAGTAAATCTTCTATTTTTTGGTGTGAATAAAAATTCATTATGTGAATAAAAAATCAAAATGGAATTTATTTGTAAAGCCTCAAAACATAACTAATGAACAGAGGAAATGTTAGTTTAGTTCCAGGAATACCTACATTGTTTATTCTGGACCCTATTTTGAAATTGGAATATTTTGAACTTTGTGTTAAATTGGCCAAATTAACAATTTCCGATCACTTTAATTTGTAATTGAAACAGTTGACTTGGCAATTTCTTGTGCTCAATCGATAGAATAAAAGTAATACTAGTGAAATAGCTAAGAATTTGGTTGACTGGAATAATGTAATTGGCCTAAAATGGGAGTCAAAGTCGGCAAAATCGCCGATTCGTAAATATCGCTGACACATCAAAATTCGCGAGAGCATAATTTCGTCAATTTTCCATCAAATTTTGTACTTTTTATTTTATTACCTTCACAAAAAGATTCTCTACCATTTGATAAGAAAAAATAACAAATTTTTTTTTTGAAAATTCTTGGACACTGGGGCACCACTTCAGATTTGGGCCTTGGACCCTGAAGGGGTTAATGATTAAGTGCCAAAGTTAAAAAACTTGGACCTACCTCTTGACTGGGTAACTGTTGTGGGAGAATTTCATAATTCAACTTTTCAGCAAATTCAGAGAGTGAAGACTGAAAAAATAAATAATGTTGAGGATGAGACATTTTTATACTGTATTTCATATAGTAAATAAAAAAATGTGAAAATATTAAAATTAGCACCATAATTGAGAATTAATTTTTCATGCAACAGTTTAATTTCACAAATACTGAGTCATCTTAATATATAGTGAGACTGTTTTATAGATAAAAATCTAAATGTTATGTCTCTTAGCACACAATACCATATAGTATATGAGAAATTAAATTCAAGTAGTAGTAGTCCAATGGTACCACAAAACAGGTCAATGTTTGATAAAATCTTACTTCAGGTGATTTTTTCCTTGATCAATAATAAAAAAAATTGTTTCTTTAGTTTCTTTAAGCACTAAACATTGACTGTTTTTACAAAAGAATATGTAACTAAGTGGTAAATACAACATTTCCTTCATATGTGAAATTTTCTCACTTTTTAATTTGTATACATGTATTTTTACTTGGCTAACACTAATACAGTGGCACCTCAAGTTTCGAACAGCTCCCAACTCAAACAATTATGTAAGTGTATTTCTGTAAGTGCTTTTGTAAGTGTATTTTTGGGGGTCTGAAACGGACTAATCTAATACTGTATACATCATTCCTTATGGGAACAAATTCATTCAGTATCGGCACTCGAACAGCCTTCTGGAATGAATTAAGTTCGTAACTCAAGGTACCACTGTATCTTTACAGTATTTTTATTGCTGTATGTTCATAGGAAAACACTAAACCTGGAGGATAATCACATTTAATCCAAAGTAGGAAAAAGATTGTTTCAATTCATTAGAGCAGGAGCCCTTCACCATATCAAGTAGACTTTTTTTTCCCTCCAAAAGGACTACAATCAGCAGATATTAACCACAGTATACCAATCTATTATGTGGAGTCTTACCTCATTTGATACTGCACCACTCGGTGATGAAGTGGTTGGTGACAACTGATCTACCTCAACTACTGCTAACCCAGGCACAATAGAGAAAGGAACATCTGAACCAAAGTCTGAGAAAAGTCGTTTGTATTCTGGAGCTTCTTCATTCATGCTACGAGAGAAGGAGTCATCGCTCCATTCCCTCATATACACTCTGTTACTTAATGCATTTGTCAATGAATTTTCAAACTGATTTTTCTGATTTGGCAATATACTATCATCCAAATTGGTTTCTGATTTACTATGGTCATCCAAATCTGATTCTTCTTTACAAGGTGCAGTAAAGTTATCCTTATCGTTATTCACTTCCTCTGCATTATTAGCCTTAATTTCACTGGGTCTAGGGATACCTTCAGAGTCTGCTGAGTCCACTTTTTTGTGCTTTTCCATGTAGTCATTTATGAAGCTTGTTTCTGGTGTTCCTCCAATAATCATATCAAACATCTGATCACTTATTGGTGTTTCACAAATGCTAGTACTGTTCATATATGTAGAATGTTCATCATAAACTGTGCTGGCAACATCAGTTGCTGCCAAAACAGGGTCTGACACTACAACCTAAAAAAAGAAAAATTATATACTGAGCATGCTGGCTGTTATCAATACCAACTAGAGCTAATAAAATCAATTAAAACTGAATTTAACAAATTATATATTTTACAGTGGACCCTCGAGTTTCGTAAGCCTCACGTTTCGTAAATTTCACCTTTCGTAACGTTTTTTCATCAAAATATAGCCTTGCGGTTTATAATTTGCCTTGCGGTTCGTAATTTGCCTCGCCATTCATCGGTCATCTGGAACATATACAAGTGGCCTCCCAGCGTCTGCACCACACAAAAGTGCCATACACGCCATTCCCAGGCAGTGTGGCATTGTTCAGGCGAGTGAGCATTACCTCAAACGTTCATACAATACATTTCATAATATTCCATTCTTTTTTGTGCTTGCAACTGCTAAATAAGCCACCATGGGCCCAAAGAAAGATTCTAGTGCCAGCCCTTTGGTAAAGAATGTGAGAAACAATAGAATTCAAGAAAGAAATCATTGCAAAATATGAAAGTAGCATGCGTGTGGCCCATCTTGCCAGGATGTATGGGAAGCCCCATACAACCATCGCTACCATCGTGGCGAAGAAAAAGGCAATCAAGGAAGCTGCTGTTGTGAAAGGGGTAGATATGCTCACAAAAAAGAGATCGCAGATACTTGAAGATGTTGAGAAGTTGTTGTTGGTGTGAATCGACCAAAAACAGTTAGCAGGAGATAGTGTTATGCAGTCGATAATTTGTGAAAAGGCATGCCGATCTCGTAAAGAAAATGCCTGGAACGAGTGTTGATGTTAGTGAATTTAAGACCACTAAAGGCTGGTTGGAGAGATTTAAGAAGCGTAGTGGCATACACAGTGTGGTAAGGCATGGCGAGGATGCAAGTTCTGACAAATGTGTGGCTGAAAAATTTGTGCAAGAATTCAAGGACTATGTAGAGGCTGAAGAATTTGTTCCCCAACAAGTGTTCAATTGTAACGAAACAGGCCTCTTTCGAAAGAAACAGCACTGCCAGGACACAAGCCTATGTAAGACAGGCTAACTCATCTTCTGTAGTAATGCTAGTGCAGATTTCAAAGTGAAGCCTTTACTGGTGCATCACTCTGAAAATCCCAGTGTTCAAGAAACACAGTGTCACCAAGAGTAAATTGTGTGATGAAGGCTAACAGTAAGGCATGGGTCATGAGGGAAATTTTCCTTGATTGGTTCAATGAAGTGTTTGGCACGAGTGTGAAGAAATACCTCCTGGAAAATAAGTTGCCACTGAAGTGCCTCCTGGTAATGGACAACGCTCCTGCTCATCCTCCAGACTTGGGTGACCAAATGGTGGAGGAGTTTAGTATCATCACAGTGAAGTTCTTGCCCCCTAATACCACTCCTCTCAT